GAAAACGGTGGAGGAGTAGGCATAGGAAAGGCCCGGAGACCCAAGTGAGAGGCCGGTGCTAGATGCACTGCAGGCACTGGCCGCCCTGCAGGCGGAACTGAGCTCTGAGCATGGGAAAAACCGCGGGGCCCAGCTTCGGTCCATGCACAAGAACCATCAGGGGTGGAAGCGTCACTTGGCTCGGAGGACTGCCATCATCCAGAGTCATCCATGGCTTCTGGTCCAAAGCTGTACCCTTCCTGCTGCTCCTAGTGGTCTGCCTCTCAGGAAGAAGAGGAGGAGGGGCAGAAGCAGGAGGATGGGTGGGGGCGAGGACACAGGAAGGCCGATGGAAGCCCCTGAGGGAAGTGTGGTTCTGGGCAGTGGCAGGTTCCAAAGGCATAGCTGAGTCGAATCTGGGAAGGGCCACACTTGTAAGTGTCGCAGCCATGACTCTGGGTGTCTCCTTCAGGCCTGCATCTGAGGAAGCAGCAGCGTCCAAGGCCTCTAAGTCAGGAATGACCAGAGAGAGTCCATGAGAGCAGCAATCGTAGAGAGTTATTGTAAATGTGGATGATCCCAGGAAATTGCTTAGACATGGGATTCACACACACCACACACACACACCACTTTCTTTGAGGTACGATTTGTCATAAGAACAGCAAGTCCTGACCATGTAAGCAGTTACCTGACACTATCCAAAACAAACCGGTCAGGAGGAGGACAGTAGCGGCCAGAAACAGCCCCTGCTTTTGCGATGCAGACCACCTGAAATGCAGATCTCCACAGGTAAGCCAGAGCCACGACGAGCATGTCTGATGGTATGGAAGGGCCTGAAGGTGTCAGTGGTGGCCGGGGAAGTGGGAGTGCCCAGCATCCTTGCAGATGCCTGATCCAGTGTCCTTCTTCCAGCCCAGACTAGGGCTGTTGCTCCTGGCTCTACTTGGCCTGGCATGTGGCCTGAATGGCTCCTTGACCTAAAGCAGATTATGAACCACCCTCAAGTGTCCATCTTAATCAGCACCCAAGATGAAGACTTTCTTAGCTACATGATAGACTTGAATGTCAGTTAGGGAGACTGAGGACGGGTGGGTATGGCACTTGATGAGGAGTTGGGGGATAGTGTTATCCATGGGCCTGTGCTGTGAGACTTTGGAGAGGTATCATGGAGGCTATTAATGCCCACCTGGGAGGCAAGCTGAGGTCCCTAGGAGCTTGCACCTTTTCCCTCCTCCCTGTGCTGGCAGGTGCAGGTGTGGAGCCTTCCACGGTCCCGCAGCAATCTGATCTTCTCCTTTCGGGACAACCTGTACTTCTGGAACATGGTGCTCATTAAGGAGTGTTACCTTGACATCACTGGTTAACATGTCTCCCGGGGTGGTGAGTGTGGGTGTGCAAGCGGGTGGATGCTCCACCTGCGGGATCTGCGCTTGTATCCCCTGCCTTTGTCCAGGGTATAGGGCATGCCGTTCCACTCTAGTCCACTGGTTATGGGACTTTGAACAGGGAGGACCCAGCCACAGGACCCAGACACCAGGAGCCTTAACTTTCTCAACTGGTTGTCAGGCCACAACTGCCCAGAATCAAACAGGATTGCTGAGATGGGTTTGGTTTCGGCCCACACACAGTTGGCAATTGATGTTGGAGCTCTTGGCTGCTCACAGGAGGGTTAGGGGCCTGGTCAGCCTGGGGCTGACCTTGCTCATGTTGCCAGCAGATCATAGCTGAAGACATGTGGGATGATCCCTTAAAGTACTACCCCAGGGAAGAAGGTTCTGCCATGAGAGGTAAATGATAGAAACACAGGTGGTGAGGGAATCTGGAGGTGGGCCCTGAAGTGATGTTTGTGTAGAGGCTGGGACACTGTCCTTTCCAAATGGGGATGCTTAGGCTCATGCAAGCTGGCTGTGGACCCTGTATTAAGGTCATGCATGTAGCAGGTGTTGTGTTGAGACTGGGGACTTGGGGACTCTGTATGTACATAAGTGAAAAAGTCTCCCTCAAAGCAGGTATGGTTGTAATGCAAGAGTCCTAGATGATTCTCCTAGAGGCAGGGTGAATTAAGCATCTTTGTATAAGCATCCTTCCCCTGACACTAAGTAGCATCTCCAGCTACTGAAACACCTGTATTTCCTCTTTGCCTTTCTGTCCCTGTGTCATACATGTTTGTGTGTACATGCATGTGTTTGTGTTACCTGTGTTGGTTTGTTTATGTGCCTCTGTGTGCCTGTGTTTGTGTCGCCCAGGGCTGATGTAGTGATGAAAGTGAAAGGACCTGAGACAAGGAACAACCTAAAGAGGAGGCATGGAAGGTCCCCAGATATGGGGTGGATGGTTGACCTATCTTTGCAGTGCCCCTGTCCAGGACAGGAATGAGGGAAGGATGGCCAGAGATAACTCTGGACCAGGCCTGCACAAATCTGCATTTAGATCAAAATTAAATCAACAGATAAACATGATTATAATTTCTGCTGTGTTTTCTTGTGTTGGGGTTTTAAGGTATGAGGATTCACCCAGAGCAAATCAGATGGGGTGGGGATTTGAAACCACTGCTTGTGGACTGCTCAGTTTGTGGGGAAATGTGCCAGTCTGTGGGAAATGTGCCAGTCTGTGGAAATGGTGGACATGGCTACAGTAGGACCCAGGATGGTGAGGACGCTAAGGACCTGAAGAGAGGGCAGAGACCCGAAGGAGGAACAGGCACAGAGAGCCTGCTGCACTGGAGACTTGTTCCACACACCTGAGAAGTATACCCGGGAAGGTCCAGGGCCAGTGCTGCCCAGGATCAGCCCATCAGGCAGCATGCTCCCTTCCCAAGGGAGGCACACAATGGCATGATGTGACACAAAATGTGAGATGTGCTAAGGTAGGCTGTCCATGTGAAAACCCAGGCATCCTAACAGACAGGGGGTGAGTGTGGAATGCCTCCAGGCACTTGGCAACCTCCCTGGCAGTCCAGAAAGGTGAGGAAAGTGCAGGTGTAGGGTGTACATGTGTGCCCCTCTGCCAGCATGTGCCTGTGAGGGAGGGAACAGGGAGGAAGCAAGGATGGTGGGCTGGCTGCTTGTCCTAAGGGACCTTGGGGCAGTAGGAGACAGGGAAGGCCCTGGGGTCAGTTCAGAGCCTGCTGGTATTCATTTCCAGGGACTAGGTATTAGTGGTCCTTCTGAACATGCCCCACTGCTCAGCCTGATAGTCCTCATGTGAATTCTTGGGTCTCATCCTTGGCAGTGTGTATGACTTGAATGATTCACGAGTTGATCTACATGGTGGCCAAGGAGCAGGGAAGTTTTTCTTTTCAGTGCATAGCTCCTTTCTACATGTAGACGCTTCAATTTACAAAAAAAATGAAGCATTAAGTTAATCAGTAGCGGTAGCCTCAGTTCAAGTGCTACACAGCCACACAAGGTTTAAGGGTTACAGTGCTGAGCAACAGAACTATTTGTCTGGACAGTCCCACAATGCTGTGCTAGAGGATCTGAACCTATGAGAGTGGAAGAAAGAGAAAAATACAGTTTCTAGGCAACCTTCGAACACTAGGATGATGGAAACAGTGGACAAATGTTAGTGTCTTCAGGGATGTAGAGCAACAATGATGTAAAAGCACCTATCCTGGAGAAACTTCTTGTTTTAAGCTTGGCAACTAGCACTGCCCTTCAGTAAGACACCAGAGGTAAAGAAATTCTGTTCCTTGTGTCCGAGGTTTTCTGGGAACTAAAAGAACATATGGAAGAACTGAGAACACCCAGAAGATTAACTGGGCCTGTGTGGTCCTGAAGAGTCAAGGACATACACAGTGTCTGGCCTGCAGATGGCCCAGACAGTAGCCCGGATCTGGACAGGCCTGCCTGGTTTATGGACTGGCTGAGCTAGTTGCAATACCCAGGTCTGAGTGGAAGAATAAGGGATATTTCCAAGTGGTGCGTAAGAACAAGGGTCTTACATATCTGGGTGACATACAGAGGGTATGAGTAGTTACCTTCAACACCCAAGCTGGTACCAGAGGGTAAGGAAGGGACACGGTGGCAGGTGAAAACACTCGTTTCTTCAGCCATCTGGACAGTGTGCCTGGTATGCTTGACAGTGCTTTTGTGGCCACTGTTGGTACTCTCACTGCTGACCTATGATAAAAACTCCTATACATCTTCCCAGTCTGCTGACATTCAAGGGAAAAAAGGGAGACCGACAGATGAGGGAAGCAGGGTACAGCACAAAGGAACATTTCTTGTCTGGTCAATAATTTCCTCCTAAGTGTACAGACATCTTAAGGACATTAAACAGTTGAGCAGAGCTTAAGATGAGGCTCCCGCACAGGTAAAAAGCATGGTTATAAACCATCCTGAGTGCAAGTAAGCTAGAAGATGACTAAGCTCTGTATATTCTCACTGAAAAAAAAAAAAAAGTATCATGTGCAATACTACTTGCAACACTTATAGGTATTAATAAAATATTTTTATTCTTCCAAACAACTCTTCATCCGATCATTCAAGAGATGAAACACAGAATATTCACCCTGGCAAGATTTAGAATTCAGACCCATAATCCAGACCCAGAGTCTACCACCTTGAAAACTGTTATGGCAAGATACTTGTGGGAAGGGAAGGGAGTAGAACTTCAACCAGATTTAATGTTAATGGGTAAGACTAGATATGCTCTACATCCAACCCAGAAATGTCTCTGTTTCTCTGTAAGCAGAGGACAGGAGGAAAATGGACCAAGGCAAGCATCTGGCAGAACAACTGGATGTAATCTTATCTGATAACCTTGAATTTGGGAGAAATTCCACACTGGTGCAGTGCGGAGCTTTCTGGATTAATATGTGAACCTACTCCTTCCAAAGACAACTAGGTTTGGGCCTCTGCCAAAGGTAGGATAGGACACGCTGGGATGAACTCCTCTTTATTAAGAATCCCAACACTACACATAGCAAGCAGCAACAAGAAGTTCTCAAAAGGACATAAGGCTCAGCTTATGGCAGAAAGTTGAGCTGACTGAAAACATGGAAGAGGAACATAAAGGAATTAGTGAATGGTGTATCGTACATAAGGAACCTCCACATCTTCGCCATCCTCATCATTGCAGCGCAGCTCAAGCACCAATGCTTGCACGTGGTGTCCCAGCTTTCGTTTTGATACTCGACTCACAATTTCTGTCATCCTAGTATGAGGAATAACAGGGTCAGGTAAGTGAAAAAAGAGGAAAGGACATAAAGGGGCAAATAACTGAGGAAAACAGTAAACATGAGTTGCATAGATAGCTGATGCTTCCTAGCCGAGACAGGACGAGAATCTTTCTCCCTGCCCAGTGGGCCCAACTCACGATTGATTCATCCGTTCCTTCAGCTTGCTGGGTGGCATGAAAAAGGAGTAGAGCATGGATACACCTTGGGACACCATGGTGATCTCCAATTTGTGCTCTGACTGAAGACAGTAGAAAGGAGGGGCAACGGTGTCACTAGGATGGACAATACCAGGGACCTGGACAAGCACTACCCTACATGTAGTAAGTGAAGAAGGGGTCTTACCTTAAAGTGGTCAAGGAACTGCTTGAGGGTCATCTCTTTACCATTAGGCTGCAGCCCCTGGGCCTCAAAGCGATCCCAAAGTGTCCACTCTTGGTTATAAAACTGCAGGAGAAAGCACAGCAGAGTAAATCAGGGGACAAGCCCAGGTTACACTCTCTTTAAACCACAAATATGAGTTTCATTTGCACAGTGCACAGGTTCCAACAGTGAACACAGGGTGAACAAAATTAAAGCAAACCTCCAGAATGATGAAAACCAGAGCCAGTTCTCCAAGGATAAGATGCATATACTGCCCACTCATATACATACATGTATCAGGCACTGAAGCATAATACCAAAGGTTTCCATAAATACAAGACTTTACCTGGTGACGGGGTGGGGCAAGGGGCCCAGAGAAGCAGAAAAAGGGCAGGGCCAAGTTGATGAAGCTATTCTTATAGGACTCAAGCTGTTGGTGTCCCTGTACCACTTTGTACAGCTCCAGACAAACAAGGCCAACTACAGCTGCTGTGGTTGTAGCAATGGCTGGGATGATCTTCCCTGCAATCAGCTTGCTCTATGACACAGAATGTGACGAGCAGAGGTGATTGTTAAGAGAAGCTGACAGCCCACTGAAAAGGCCGTATGTGGCAGATTCAAATTTAGAAAGGGTTCAAGTTTAGATCCAAATTTTTGTTACCTTATGTCGGTCTCCGAGGGGAATGTTATAGTTCTCTGCCCGGAGATTGGATGCAGCCACAATGAAATCCATGTGGAAGTTGGTGTCATCATCCTTTTGTTGAGTAGAGACAGAGGAAGAATAGAGGAAGCAGATCAGGAACAAAAGGTTTTCTAGATAGTACTATGGACCAACAGCTATCTTCCCCCATTACCTGCCAGAGAGGCCAAAGATGTCCCAGACCACCAAAAAAAAAAAGAAAAAAAAAAGGGCTATATGGTAGACGTGTAAACCCCACAAAAGCTAAAGATGGCTCAGCCCATCCTCCTATCCTGCTGAGGGCACCCCTCTCCCAAGCACCTTCTCAAAGTTGATGGGGTACATCTTGAACCCAGAAAGGCTCTCTGGGGTGGGCAGCATGGCCTTGAGCTCCTGTAGGCGGTTATCATCTGCCGAGAGGAGGTAGTACATGTCAGTCCTCAGATACACATTAGATTCCAAGCCAGGGTCTGAGGTGAAAGCAGGAGTCCAAAGTAAGGCAGAGAATTTCACGCAGATAAAGGATTTAAAAAGGAAAGACATCACGTGAGAGAGTAAAATGAAGCAGGAAAGACAAGGCAGAAACACCTCAGAGGGAAAAGAAGTAGACAGGTGTGTGGAACGTGAAAAGGAGTATAACTAGAGACACTGAGGGAAAACGACTGAGACACTAAGAAAGGTTTAGACAGCAAAACTTTTTTCAATAAAGATGGATGCAACCCAGGTTGCTGACTGATGAATGAGTGGATACAAAAACGTGGTCTATCAATTCAGTGCAACACTAAGTCTCCTTAAAGAGGAACGTTAAATCCTGGCAGTTTAACAGCACAAATGGCCTCAGAACTACATGCTTAGCCAGAGGTAGAAAGGCAAGTATTGCATAAGGTACCTAAAAATCAAAATCATAGAGACGGAAGATACATTATTGTTTGCCAGAGGCAGAGGCGAAGGGGATTAGGGTGTTAATGTTTGATGGGTATAGAGTTTAAGATTTGCAAGTTAAGTTCCATAAATTTCCTGTACAATGTAACTGTATTTAATACTACTTAAGCATATTTTTAAACATGATTAAGATGGTAAATCTCTTGTGTTTTTTACCAAAATATTAAACAAACAAATGCAGGATGTCAATGAGAACATAAAATAAGACATCTTAAAGAAGAACAACACAGACAAGGGGAGATAAGAAGGAAGACACAAAAGCAAACAGGAGACCAGGGGATAAAAGTTACAGAAAGGAACATTGTGGGGAAATGCACCGATACAAAAGAAGAGAGTAGTGAAATGGGATAAACAGGACATATCTGAGAAGGAAGGAGGGGCATAAACAGTGCAGTTTAAAAAAAAATGTACAGGAAATAAGACAGTAGAAAGCACCTGAAGGGGAGACAGATAGGGAAATGCATAAAGAGAAATATACAAACAGGAATGTGAGAGAGTAGCTATTTCAGACACAAAATGCAAAAGATATGAGGAGACGACAGATACACAAAGAAAGAAACGGAGGGATACAAACAAGATAAAATGTAGACAAGGACTTCTACAACACGAGGTGGGTAGGGGAGACATGGAACTTTGAGTTGGGGGACAGTTACAGTTGGTGAGATGAAGAATATATTGAGAGAGAGATGAAGAAAGATATACACACAGATTAGTAACAGGTTAAAGATACATATCAGAGAGAAGTAGAGAGATCTGTCAAGATGAACCCGGGAAGAAATCAGGCAGAGAGACTACTGGTGGAAATCGTATCCATTTATACTGCAGAAGCACACAAAAAAGTAGTACAGAAAATAGAAGAAAACAAAGAAAAAAACACACAAAAAAAGACATGGTCCACTCAGAGAGGGAGAAGAAAGAAGTAGTACGAGAGAGAATTTGTCTCCATCAAACCCACTGGAAACTGAAGAAGGAAAGAAGACAGTGGATCAATCTCAGACAGATCTCAGAGCAGAGCCAGGGGCAAAATATGAGTGCACAGGAGGCTTGCATGGACATGGGCTACAGTAGCGTGGTGGCTCCAGCCCAGCTAAAGGATCTCACCAATGGAGGAACTGTTTGCAGCTCCTGGTCAGAAACTTGGATCCTGACGCCAGACTTCAGGGTGAACTCAGGGACCTGCATAGACTGAATGAGTTTGGTGACAGCACTCCGGTCCTGAGAGCCCATCATCCCATAGGTCTGGGCAAACAGGTTGGCAGCAGCTATCACGTAGTCCAGATGCAGGGGCTAAGAGAAGGCAAGGTAAGGAAGGGAAAGAACATCTGTACTCCCCTACGGAGGCTCAGCCTCCTTACCACCTGTTCAGTGACTTTCCACCCAACTGCAGGAGACCCAGGAGAGTAGACTTACATTGTTGACATCAAAGATATGCGGGTGTGGGCAACATTTAGGCCCAGACCAGAAAGGGGCTCCTGAACCTGTAAGCTAGAAGACAGAAAGATTGAGGGGAGCAGAATCTGCCACAAGAAGTCTCTCTGATAACCACAACTCCTCATTTTCAGTCCCAGAAGGCCCAACTCACTATCCTTTAACACTCACTTTCTGTCAGATAGAGAGATATTTATGAAACTTTTAGGGACTGCCAGCCACTGTGCTCTTGTTGTTCAGATGCTAAGTCATGTCCAACTCTTTGGGACCCCACGGACTGCAGCACGCCAGGCTCCTCTGTCCATGGGCGTCTCCAGACAAGAATACTGGCCTGAGTAGCCATTCCCTTCACCAGGGGATCTTCCTGACCCAGGGATCAAACCCAGGTCTCCTGCACTTGAGGCAGATTCTTTGCCACTTCAGACACCAGGGAAGCCCACCAGGCACTGTACTAACAAATTAATTTACTAACTTAACAAAGAGCAATTAACCTTCACAAAACTCTCATGAAATTAGGTCATCACTCTTCCTAATTCCATGATGTATACTGAGGTGCAGAGAGGAACTGCATAACTTGTGCCAAGAGAACACAGCTAGATTCTATGCCATTAACTCTGAATTTTTTCTTCTACAGTTGTGACAGTCTTGACTGGGAATCTGGAATGACACATCCTACGTCTAAAGGAAATGGATACCAAGTATCTGATGGTTAGAAGAAAGAGTGACTGGGCATTAGAGGAGAACAGTAGCAAGTCTTTGACCTCAAAAATCATTTGCTTATTCATTTTAAGAGCTCTCAAAGCCTTGCTGAGCTTGCCACAACCAGATTAACTGGAATGAATCACGTCAAAAACATGGCAGAAGCCAACACAATAGTGTAAAGCAACAACCCTCCATTTAAAAATACATTAAAAAATATTAAAAAACGCTGGGGCACGCTGTTCCCAGTAAAACCATTCTGAAAAATGGTCCCTGTGTTACTACCTGGTTAGGAGGAAAGTTGTGCAGCAGCTGTCTGATGTTGTTGGAGTACTGGGTATGCCAGTGATAGTACGCCCAGGTCACAGAGTCAGACCATGATTGTGGCCGCTGCAGCACTAAGCTGCGCTGCACGGCCTCCAGCACCTGCAGAGGCTGGGTGCCTGCCAGGCACAGCATTCGTTCCACAAACTTGGCGTCTCTATCAAGAATCAGAAGGGAAACCAATGCAGAATTACACAGTGATTCCACGAGTAAGCTTATATCTGTGGAAAGTCAGTCCTGACTTCCAAAGGTATAAGGCCCAACCAACCATTAATTTATTCAGAAAGTAGACCAGGGAATCCCCTGTGTTTCCACCACAGGGGGTATGGATACAATCCCTGAGTGTCCACACACCACTGTGTGATACCTGGTGTGTCCCTGGCCCTCCCTACACCAAAAAAAAAAAAAAAAGTACAGTAGGTCCTAACTGTTAAATGGTTACAGAATGCTTTGACTGACAGGCCAGAGACAGGGTGAGCAGACACTTGCACCAAAGTACTCACGTAAGGTATTTGTTGACATTTTCTGCTGGCTGCTTGAAAAGGCCTTCAAACTCATCCCGAGCCCACTGCAGACAGAGCAGAAAACAGTACATTGAGATACAGGAAACAAATGAGATACGAGAAACAAAGTTAAGTTTCTGCAGGCATTAGAGAGATCATCAGGCAAATACAGTAAACAGGAAAACCACGGCTGCTATGGGAAAACAGAGGAATGAACCCACCGCAATGGGACTCCTCAAACTTTTAAACACCCACCATTCCATTTAAAAATCAATGATGTTAATCTGGGCAGATTACTACACAGGCGTATTTTGTGGTAAACTTATTCTGAGGCTGAACACGTTACCCTAGGTATGTCATGCCTCAATTATTAAAAAAAAGAAAAGTTCACACCAAAAATAAAACATGAATGATCTTGCAGGGACTGTGCAGAAAATAATAATAGCACTTTTCCCCGAGAATTACAGTACAGTACAGTACAGTCCCAGGCAAAGTGATGTAAACCATCCTGTTGGTGGAGATCCAGATTCACATGCCAGCTCTGCCACATTTGTGTGACCTTCAGGTACATCTTGACTTTTATATCCTCATTTCAAAATTCTGTATCACTAGTATCTACACCTCAAGGAGTTAATATCATAGAGTAAGCACACAAGTATATATTTTCAGCTTATTTTGAATGTCACAAGGACATACCAAATGTAACTTCTTTACAAAAGTCCTGTGAGAGTTACTACTTTCATTTCCAATTTACAGATAAGGGATCTGAAGCATGAAGAGCTTAAGTCCAAGTATCAAACCCGCTCTTCATTTCAAAAGCCCTTTTACTGGCCTCTCTGTGTGTTAGTAGAAAGAAACAAAGTAACAGAACCATAATCTTGCAAAGGTTTTAAATACTGAAAAACACAGACACACACTCCAACACATCTTACTACCTCTCCCTCTGTCTCTGACTATAAATATATACATACACACACAAACATGAGAGGCATGGACAGGCAGAGAGACACACTGTGTACTGAGTCCCTAAGTAAAAACATCCTGCAAGGAAAACTGACAGATTCAACTGTTTCTTCTCATTTTCTTACTACTCCCATACTTCCTAAACATACTCAAAAACTGCATTAGGAATTATTTTGATAAAATGATGGTTATTTTGGGACCAAAAAGGAGATGGGATTCGGGACAGGTTCTGAGTGGCAGCAAACGGGAGGCTTTTACATTGTCAATCTAGATGATAGATATGCTCTTATATATACATATATATACACACACACACTATAGAAACAATTATTCTGACAAACAAACTGCTAAATGTATTCTGGACAAATATCAAAATGTTAGTCGTAAATATGTACTCAGTAGAGAGGGGTTTTAATAACGAGCAGAGCTGATATTAAGAAGTTGATTTTGTTTAGCAACAAAACAGTATCCTCTATAGAAAGACAGACATCTTCACATCTTAGATACACACTTCTTATGTAAAATGTCTTGCACAGTATACATAAAACTTCCCTGTATGTTTCCAATATAAAATGCCCAAGTTAAGAAAAAGCATTCCAAAAAGGTTAGGGTAGTAGGTCTAAAATGAATGAAGGAGATTTGAAGGGAGGGCACATCTTGTATACACTGAGGCTTGCATGACTGGAATCAAAAGAGCTTGGCATTGTCTAGATGCTCTTTCTACCCACACAGCTGATCACCTGCAACGTGTGCTCGATGGCATTCGGGAAGTTCTTCAGCGTACAGATGGGAATGGACTTCTCAGGAGGGTCCTGGCTGGAGCTGTATGACTCTGTCAGGAAGGGGATAACCACGTGTACATTACCCTTGGTTCCCAGTGTTCCTGACTCCAGAAGTGGCTTACGGTAGTAAACACAACGGCGGTCCATGTACATGCCTGCGGCAAAGAGTCAACAGATGAAGGGGAAGTAAACATCAGTACAGATGACACTCCCCCCCAAAAACACAAACATGGCTCTGTCCTGGTTCTCACCCATCTACAACACTTACGGGCATCCACACTGTCCAGGGCATTGGCCACACCATCCAGGTTTTGAGAGAAGTCGTCATCATACACATGCTCTGTCTCAGGGCCCACATGGTTCTGATGGCTTATGACCCGGATGTGTGGATTTATTTGGCTCACAACTGCAGCAGCTGTATCAGACTTCAACTTCTGGGTAGTGGCAGAGGAAACAGAACTGTCATTCATATAATCACCCAACTCACCTGTGCAGACCTATCCTGGAAACTGATTAAGTAATGATGCACAAGACCAACGCTGTGACTTCAGGGGCTCTGTGGCATATGACAAATGCCACGCAGCTGAGGCTGAAACAAACGGGGAACAGGGCTTAAAAAGGAAACAGTGACCCAGTAGGAGACAATGGGTCGAGCACCTGTTTCTTCTATCTACCCAACATGTACTGTTAGTTTTAGTTACCAGCACCAAGAATGCACGTGCGGTGCGTTCACTGAAAGAAAACCAAGATCGTCTCGTTTACAAAACCAGCATCCTCTGAACTTAGCTCAAGCTCCTCTTCTGTTCAAAACCCTCTATCAGTTCCCAATTTCAACTAAGGATAAGATGAAGTGGCCCCTATTACTTTTACAAGTTTCTCTATTCCTATGATCTTCCACTGTCTCTATCTCTTAACCACAGAAAAAAATATTTCAACCTTGAGATTTTCCTCATGCTGCTACCTTTACATTAGTATATTCTTTCCTGAGATTTCTTCCACTCCACCTCTCTCATTTTTAATTCTCTGTGGAAATGTCACCTTTCCAATGAGACCTTTTTTACCACATTGCAAACTACCCTCTCATGACACTTTGTTCTTTATCTTGATAAGGATTCTTACCCTAAAACATTATTTTTCACCCCATGTTCAAACTATACATTTTGCTATTGGTATTGATCCACTCTAGCAGTTGAAAAAGCAGAGGTCTTAAAAAGGATTTTTTTTTAATGTGATGCAAAGCCATCAATATTTCCTACTTTAGACATTTAAACAGAGAAAGGTTTAAATAATATTAGTCTGTTTAAGACTAGGATAATTCCATTACATAACACAATCATTGAGAAAAACATCGCAACATGAAGACTTTAATATTAAGACAGGTTTCGAGTGTAATTACAATTTTGCACATTTCTCTTAAGCTATTTTAGAAGACAGAAGAATTTTCACAACTACTGCAGTCAATGCATTATATATTTTGTTTAAAAGAACCTAAGGGATATTCGGACTTACAAAAAATGTTTCAGTAACAGTTTTTAGGTGATATTTTAAAAATACAGAAAACTTGACAGGTGTTTACAAATGTAATTGCAAGGTGAAATGTGGAATCCATATCAACATTCACTGGTTTTCAATTCATTTAGAATTGAAAGTGAATGTCCTTAATGCACAATTCTGTACCATCATACACTGATCGAGTCATTTGGAAAAACCCTGTGTTCTTGTCAGATAGCTGTTCAAAGTAGAGAGGGAGATTCACCCTTCAGCTGGTGAAATGAAAACAAAAGCAAAATAGTGTCCTAGTAAGTCTTGAAACATCTATGGACTTGAGGAAAGAGTGCTATCTACCTCCACTGAACTTTGAGAAACTCTCAATGTTATGTCACTGCATCAGAGAAGAGCAGAAACTTCTCTATGTTCTTATATATCTCAACTATCAAGGCAGTGCCTAGTATCTGCATGATAAAATGAAAGGCAGACACTTAGCAGGCAAAAAATAACCCTGACTTTTACATAAGACTTTCCTCTATATCCTAGCTTCTGTAGTCTCACATAAGCCGTAACTAAAAATCAAAGGAAAAAAAGTAGGGAGAGATGCAAAATGACAAATGCAAGACACAAGTACGCAGTGAATATCTGCTCAAAGACTGAACCATAGAGAAAAAATAAGGGAGGAACTGAAGGAAAGGGGTAAACAAAGGAGACCTAAGTTAGCATGACGGATAACAAAGAAAAGGAGAAAAACACAACAACTTACCTCTGTCCATCTCACTCACCGTGACATCCCAAGGACGGAACAGAAACTGTCGGTTCAGATTTGACTTCTCGATGATGTCCATGTCTGTTACCGTGATTGACCCACCATCCCCACAACCTAGCCCAATCATGGCAAAGTTCTTGAGCAGTTCACAGCCAATGGCCCCTGCACCCACCTGGGAGGCAGTCAAGAAGACAGAGAGGTAATGGTTAGCGGCACTCGGATAACAAAGCCACCCCTCAGTCCTATTCCTCTCGGAGACTGTAAGAGAGGGCTGGGCAAGAGACTCTAGTATTGAATATTTAAATCCCAGGAGCATAAAAACACAAGGTCATCAGGAAAGAGGCAGAAGACCAGGAACAAAGGAACTGGCATGAAAACAAAATGCTAAACAAAAGAGATGAGGGTACAATTAAACACCCTCCCTTCTAAGGCAAAGACTCCAGAAGAGGTGGCCAGAGCTAGGATAAATAAAAGGAGCTTGTTCCCAACAGGAGTTCTCACCAAGAAGTATCTCTGCTTGCCCAGTTTCTCTTGCAGGCCGGAGCCAAATACAGCCACCTGCCCATCGTAACGGTTCTGGCACTGCGTCAGGTGAAGGGAGGAGAGGATTAGAGAAATTGTACACCAGAGAGGACCAAAGTAATACCTTCTCTGTGGGCCCCCATCACATACTGGAAGGCATTTGTCCTCTGAAAGAGCCTCCTGGCCCTCAGGGAGACACTCAAGGGCATCGAAGTACAGCCACTGCATAACAGGCATAAACTTTCCAGTACAGGCCTGAGGAGGAGGTAAGAAAGGGGAAGTGATCCCTGGTTAATCAGAGCCTGACGGCAAGTAGCAGAGTCAGAAAGACACGGAGCACACTCCACCACTATCCTACCCATACCTACCTTCATAACCTCCTGAGCAGCCAAGCCCCCAATGAAGGCATTCATGGGTGTTAGATCCCCAGCAGCCACGTAAGCCAGCTTCCTGATGAGGTCTTCATCCAAATTATCTTGCTGCACTGCTGGCGGGCCTTGAGCCTTCACAGCCTCTGCTAGGGTCACCAGTTCTGCTGCATCCTTCTGGTAGGACCCAAGAAACAAAGACTCAGTCATGCCACTGTGGGGAGAGGGAGAGGCAGAAAAAGTAAAGACAAGTAGTAATGGTAGAGCTTTGGTGCAAGGACCCGGGCTGGCTTGCCCACCCACCTACCTCACTGTCGGGCCGAGGGGAACTGCCATGCTGAGCACAGAACTGTTGCAAGGCCTGGAAACCAATGTGCAGTTGAGCAGAGTGAGAATACTTGGCAAAATCTGTTATCACAAAGTCTGGCTCTGCCAGTGAGTTGAGCAAGGATTTCTGGTGGAGAACAGAGAAGACCACATCAGAACTAGAAAAGCAAAACAGAATGAAGTGAGAAATACCTGGAACCTTACAGTACACCCTCCTGCACATACTTACAAAGCTGATCTTCTTAGCTATTTTGACCTGACTGACAATGCCTCCACGGATATAATCAGAGAAATTTGAGGTATCACAGATACTAAAGGTGTAACGACCTAGAGGATAAAAAGCATTAAGATTTATCTGTCAATTCACACCCTCCCAAGATCAACAGGACTACCAAAACCAGAATGGAAGAACCACCCAACTCTCCCTCTCCATCACCCACCTCTCCCTTGGATTCAAAGTATGGGATTTGCAGATGCAAACTATTATACACAAGATGGATAACAACAAGGTCCTGCTGTATAGCACACAGAACCATATCCAATACCCTGTGATGAACTAGAATGGAAAAGAATACATAAAAGAATGTATATACAACTAAACCACATTACTCTAAAGTAGAACCTAACGCAAGATTCTAAGTCAACTGCACTTCAATTAAAAATACTTTCATTAAAAACAAACAAAAAACCCCACAATGCTGATTTCTTCAATAGCATAGGTACTCTATGTCTAATATGTCACTCCGGAGCAAAAAGCAGCAAGCTCTTAAAGGATCCAACATCAATGAGATAAGCTCAACAATTATGAAAGGAACACAAAAACACAGCTTGAAACTCTAAAATCCACGATTATCTTCCATCCATCAAAAATTTCCAGGTCATGAGTCTCTGGCTTTAATTTTCATCAAATCTGTAAACTCTAAAATATTACTTCTTTAAAAAAACTTTTCTGCCTCACACCTTTGTTGGGATTTATTAGATTCCATGTATTTTTTTCACTTGAAGCAGCCATATGTCTTGTTTATATCTTCCAAATCATTCTGTACTATCTATATTCATGATTACAGAGAACTCTGTTGACACATGAAATATATTTATGACGTGACAGGTGGTGCTAGTTGTAAAGAACTTGTCTGCCAATGCAGGAGACATTAAAAGAGACCCGGTTTGAGCCCTAAGTGGGAAGATCCCCTAGAGGAGGAAATGGTATTCCACTCCAGTTTTCTTGCCTGCAGAATCCCAGGGACAGAGGAGCCTGGCAGACTACGCTCTACAGGGTCGTAAAGACTTGGACACAACTTTGGTGACTTAGCATGCATGCAAGTGTGCACTGATTTTATATACTTGGTATGTTTAACAAATTAACACAGAAGAAAAAAGTAGTAGATTTAATAAAGTAGAAGAAATTATCCATGGTACCACAAAGAGCATGGAGACAACCAAAGAGTAAAGTGGCTTAAAATGCATGTAACTGAAGATCTAGAAAGAGATGATGGAGTGGGGAGGGGGCTGAGAAAGTAGTACTGAGACGAAAGAAGGTGGTGGGGGTGGGAGGGTGCAGAAATATTCCAAATCTGATAAAGCTATGGTCTCAAAGGTAGTATAAGTTTGAAAGGAAGCACCGAGAAAATTACACAAAGGTCTGCTATCATAATTGCAAAATATACTAAGGTATATAATCATCAATCCATTTCTTAAGATCAGTGATAGAAAATATAAGAATGTTAAATGCAAAGGAACAAGGGTAAGAACAGGAGACTTTGTGGGGAAAACAGGCAAGAAAGAACAGTACCACATCTTTAAGCAATGATATCTAGAATGCTACACTCTGCAAAAAATTTTGTTCAAAATCAGGCATTCTGAAATAAAGACAATTTCAAACATCAAAAAGCAAGAAGAGTCGCCACTAAAGTACAACATCTGATAGAGCTTGAGTGGAAGCAAAATGGTACTGGATGCACATCTAAATGGAGAGAACATGGAACTGTCAAACCCCAACAAATAATTTTAATTTGGCAATTACAGAATAAAAAAGCTCTTCTAGCTTTTCAATGCTTGAAGAGGTTTATGACGCACATGAAATTGCAATTATTTTGGTGTGTGTGTGCAGTGATAAAGTATTACTTGGAAAAGCAAATGCAGAATTTACATTTACACAGTCTAAAAGTTAAAGAAAAAATTAAAGAGAGGTTCAACCAATGAGCCAAATGGAATCAAATACTAGCGGTATTCATCTTTCTGCTTCTAGGTTCAGTTCACAGTTCTCAACTAAGGCTACATGGACACATGTCTTGTAAATCCCACGTGAGAGATTAGAGAGTTATAGCCTCTTGGTCTGTGGTGCAATTCAGTATACATACATATGACCACAGGGACAATTCTCCCTTTGTTCTAGGTAATCATTTCCTGACCCCCAGCTTAGCATACCCAGGACTTTGATCTCTAGTGGACAGATGCCATTGAGTTCATTCATGCCCTGAACTTCTGTAAAGGAGACGAAGTCACCACTCTCAAATCCGTGTCGGGATTCATCCAGGCAAGTGACAATACCAGGGTTGCCCTGGTTGGAAGAGAAGTTAAAGAAAGTCTCACATGTAGAATCAGGGTACCCGGAGCATAGACAAGGACTAAGGCTACAAACATGCCTGCCTTGGACCAGACTCCATACCGTGGTAACCACAGAAACCATAGCAGTGAGAGGCTGTTCCCCATTGGAATCTGTGAGGATCATTTCCTCTCCAAAGTCACAGAACAACTGCCTGTAAAAGGAGAAAACAGGACTGAGACCTGGAACTCGGGTACTGAGGCATCATGCTGGTAACAAGACAGTGCTTACACAGTATGGGCAGAGGTGGACATGCAGACTTGTATACATGGTTTTCCCTAAGAGAATCATTAGGGCACTGAGAGCCAGGGTGGTTTTGGCCTGGCCTAGGAAGGAGTTAGGGATAAACAGAGAAGGTGGAACTCACCCAAATAGACCTCGAGTGTCTACTACCACCAGCTTGATTCCATGCCTGTGACAGAACTCACCCACCTTCAGCTGGTCCTCCAAAGGGGAGTTGGTAAGGACCACCACCTGTAACAAGAAACCAGCTCACTGCAAAAAGGACTGGCACTGAGGTGAAGGGGAGTAAGGAAACAAAAAGGAGAAAGGCAAGTCAGGAAATGGCAGAAGGTCAGGGCTCCAGCTTACAAGTTGACCTTTTCTACAAATATAAAGTACATGTTTCATACTCTGTCAGGGGACGTTCAACTTTCAGGGATCCAATATGTTATTCTCTTGTGTGCCATTTCTCAAGGACTCTCTATTCCTTATCAGTTCCTGGAAAACAGCAACGAGCAGAGGTGCACACAGTTCTCAGGACTGAGATCATGAGAAAGAGCACCTTCTTGGACTCCTTTCAGTGACTCCCTTCAGTGACATTTTACTTAAAGGTAATTATTCAGTTACACACCCCTCTTACTCAAGATATGGAATACTTTCTGGCCCTTTGAAGACTGTTATGTGCTTGGCTTTGTTTTTGCTCAAATTTTTTTACTACAAATTGCCTTGTATGAAGATATATAAATGTGCATTTCTGCAAATAAAGCACCCCTGTTTCATTCGAGACCTGGGTCCCCTGCATCCCAATTCTGGTTGACTCCAGTCCCCAGGTCCCAGTCTACAAAGACTGTGACAAGCGGCGCCCCAACAGGGACCTGGTGAATGCCCTTGACAAGCAGGTGGAGTGACTGTTAGGACCTACGGAGTTTCAGTTATGTGACAAATGGCTGGAATGCCCCCGCCACTTTTCTACTTTACTTCATCATTTATTTAAGGTTCAGGACTTTTGGTTTCACATCAGCAGATAGAGGCTTGTCTACAAACAGTGGTTGAATATAATCCCTGGTTCCTTGATGAAAGCAGTTCCAATTTAAAAAGTTGGAACTGGGTTAAAAAAAATTAAACCACAAGACAGAGAGAAAATAGTCCAATAGATTTCTGGCCCTTGTGGGCCTTCGTTAAAGCCATGATCTTGCCATTTCAAGGCAATTCTAGCCCCCCAAATATCATCAACAAGCCTAACTCTCATTATATGACTATAAATTAGATGATAAGACTTTACAAAAGGCCCACTTAGAGCAACATAAAATGTTTCAAAACTTTCCCACCATCCCTGCTCCGACTGCCCCAAGCACTCCTCCTGCTCTAGTAACAGGCACGAAAACTAAGTTCCCCTCAATTAAAAGACAAAATGAATCTGATGATGATTCTTCTGCTGCTCTCTTTGACACTAAAGCCAACAATACATTTGATGACAATAATAAGCCCCTAATACACACTCATATTTAAGAATACAGACGATCCACTCCTTCTCCTTCACCACGAACGCTTTCTGATTTACTGGCTTTCCAATCTCAAGTCTCTGAGGCCAATGATCTTCTTGCCTTTCCTGTGTAAAGAAATATTAATGCTCAAGGGCAACTAATAGCTCAATATGAAGGCACTGGTTTTTCTCACATGCAGAAAATGAAAAAGGTTGCAACTATGTATGGCCCTTATTCACTTTTTACTAAACTCTACGGCATCTTCTATTGAAAATTTTATTCCTTATGGTTGGCAAATTTTGATATAAGTTCTTCTTAAACCAAGAAAATATCTTCAGTAGGTAATACAGTTTCACAATATGGCCCAAGATCATGTCAATTCTAACGCTCAAACTGGCACTCCCCAAAACCAAATTACTTTTGAAATGTTAACCGGTACAGGGCAATTTGATTCGGTGCAAGTTCAGATGCAATGCCCTGTATCTGTTGACTGCATGAACAATTGAAAGAACTTGCCCTTGACACTTGGGATCAAATTACTCCTCAAGGGGAACCTAAAGGTAGCTACACAAAGATATTACAAGGACCTAATGAAGCCTATGCTGATGTTTTGACTGGGAGTTGCTATCTCCCATAATGTCCTCACAGAAGAAGCCAAAATACAGTGAGAAAAACTGCTTATATATGAGAATGCGAATCAGAAATATCAAAGAGCCATTGCTCCAACTCATGAGACCAATAATGTTATTATTTGAAGGCTTGTCACAACTTAAGATTAAAAACTCAGAAAATGCAAATGGTAGCTAAAACAATGGCTGCTACCTTTAAAAAGGAAAATGAAAGATGTTTTGTTTATGGAGATAAGAGCGATTAAACTAATTGCCTGAACACACACACACACACACACACACACACACACACACACATGTGTGTGCATACAAATTGAAACTATTCAAAAGCCTCCAAAAGTCTGCCCTCACTGTCATAATAGGATCAGTTCAGTTCAGTTCAGTTGCTCAGTCATGTCCGACTCTTCACAACCCCATGAATAGCAGCATGCCAGGCCTCCCTGTACATGACAAACTCCCGCAATTTACTCAAACTCATGCCCACTGAGTCAGTAATACCATCCAGCCATCTCCTCCTCCGTCGTCCCCTTCTCCTCCTGCCCCCAATCCCTCCCAGCATCAGGGTCTTTTCCAATGAGTCAACTCTTCACATGAGGTGGCCAAAGTATTGGAGTTTCAACTTCAGCATCAGTCCTTCCAATGAACACCTAGGACTTATCTCCTTTAGGATGGACTGGTTGGATCTCCTTGAAGTCCAAGGGACTATCAAGAGTCTTCTCCTACACCACAGTTCAAAAGCATCAATTTTTCAGCGCTCAGCTTTCTTCACAGACCAACTCTCACACTGCGCTAAAAAATGTCAACCTAAATATGATGTTGAGTGAAATCTTATTTCAGGAAACTCAAAGATGGGGACTCACCAGGTCCCCATCAACAAAAACCAGGGACAAACTCCATCTTTTCCCATTCACGGCAGCCTCCAATAATGCTGCGTGAATATACTGGTCATAAATGATTCCCTTCTTTTTCCTCAAACAGTCCCTTCTAGAATACTATATACCTTTACACCCTCTAGACCTAGAGAGATTTGTTTTCTCTCTCCCTTATCCTAATCATAGCAGGCCTCACAGACGATATCAACAGACTGTACTGCCTCAAAAACTGATGAAGTCTTCCATTATATGTCAATATTATGTGGCCAACGTGCTCTATTACACAATAATGCTGGCTCATTACATCAAATTTGGAAAATCCCATACCGACATGCTAAAGAAACCATCAATAACTGCTCTACTCATAGGCCCCTACATCTTCAACCCATTAAACAAGGTATCAAACCTCGAAGATTACAACCCAATGAACTATGGCAAATAGATATAACTCATTGACCTGAACTTTCTCCCTCTGCCTTCTTACATGTCTCAACTGATACAAATTCTTCTTTTATATGGGCCACACCTCTCCGAGGTGAAACTATACCACATGTTATAACCCACCTGTTAACTTGCTTTGCAATAAAGAGAACACCTAGTTCTATAAAAACAATGGCCCTGCCTATATTTCTAGACAATTCCAACAATTTTTACACTCATTTTCTATTAAACATATTATAGGTATTCCTTATAATCCACAAGCACAGGACATAGTTGAACATTGAAACTATAAATAAAACAATTAAAAAAGGGGGAACACACAGGAACACATCTATCCTCCGTATCCAGAGCAGACTTCACTAGATTCCAACACAATATATTCTTTAATCGTATAACTACTATTAATACAGCTTTGTTTTACATTTTTTAAACTTACCACAAGGAGATATTTTGACAAAAGCAGAAAAACATTTTGGCATTGAAGGACACCTCACTTCCTCTGCCTATTTGGTATCGAGATGGGTTGACTAAACAATGAAAATTTGGGAAATTACTATTACAGGGAAAATGGGTATGCTTGTATTTCTCCAGCTGGATCCTACAGAATCAGTTGGTTCCCTCTTCAGAAAATCTGCCCCAGGGGAGCCACTGGCCTTCAAGACAGAGAAGAAATGGCAACATCCCCAGAAGGAAGAGTTTCCAGTACAAGCCATCGTGGCTTTAAAAACTGCCAAGAAATGCCACACTGAACATCATTGCCCTTCTATCTCCCTACTTGGGGACAGATAAAAATCCTTACTAATCAAGGTAAAAATCTCTCTTCTCAACAGAGAATTCCTCGGAATCCTGAAAATATTTTTGTTGCCATGCTTGCTTTGCTTGCTTTTGCTTCTACCACTCAGGCTGACTTGATTAATCACACTTACTGGGCCATACCTAAGCCTCCTTTATTGCAGGTTACAAAATGGACAGACATAGGACTGATCAATCCACTAATGACTCAATACGTATGCCTTTTCCTTGGAACTTGGAGGGGCCCTCTCATCCTGAGAAAGAAGGCAGCCTGATTAACATTTCTCTAGGCTATTAAATCCTTCCTTTTACGCATGGGCCCAGCAGAATCATGTATTCATGTTCAACAAACATGGACTTTTGTCCTGCCTCCAAAAAAGAACTTCGGCACATTGCTTGGACTGCTTACTGCCCTGTCCTTTTATGAGAACCATGTCAATACAACCAAAACTCTAGGAGAAGGAAAAAGGTTGGAATGTAAGGTGTTTACTTATAAGGACTTTAAATACACTCCTGTTTTTTGGGATATATGTCAAGCTAAATCAGGGAAATTAATGTTTGTGGCCAATTACACCATTGTTGATTGTGGACCCTATCACATGTGGTTATCTAACTGCTCAGATGATATTAACAGTACTATGTGTTATTATGTTACTCAAGTAACATGGAAGATTACCAACAGTTCAATGGAACACTTCCATGACAAAGGACTCCCTGGCTGGCTTGACAGTGGAATGGCACCTCCTTGCCCTCGAATCGTCCTCAATATACAGACTGGACCTAAACATTGGGACGTCTGGAGACTTGCTGTGAGTACTGAAAAACTTGAAACCTGCACTAGATATTTTACAGAGACTAGTTGTAATCATAGTAACTATTCCTTCCATTATAATCATTCATATTTTATATAAGCTTGTGTTCCCCTTCCTTTTGTTACGGCCACAGGAAACTTAAAACTTAATAAGGCTTTACTTTCTATGACTTGTATAGATTACAAATTGTATACTTAACTGCTCTATTTCTCTAAAAAAGAAATCCCTTTTGATTCGTTGATCTCCACTTAAGTCTATGGCTGCCAGCAGATCTCCAATGACAGTGGGAAGAAGGTTCTATGACAGGACTTGCCTCCTGGTTACTCAATAAATTACTCTGGCGATCTAAGCAGTTAATTGGATGGCTGATTCCTGGCATTTTCAGATTAATAGCCATTTGCACTACTGCTATTGTTGCAGACACTGCTTTACAAACTTCAATTCAAACACAAAACTTTATTCAAAGTTGGACTAAAGATGCTCATACTATATGGGTCCCTCAGGTTCAGATAGATGAAAACGTTGAAGATAAAATTCAGAAATTAGAAACAGCCATCCAGTGGATTGGAGATCAATTCATAGCTTTATTAAAACAAATATTATTAAACTGTGGTTGGAATCCTACACAAGATTGTATCACTGCTGTTCGGTTCAACCACAATGCTTAAAATAGAGAACAAACCAAATTTAAACTGCAAAATATACACAACAACACTTCCTTAAATGTGTAATTGTGGCAAAGCAAAATTTTGGAAAACTTCTCTAAGAGTCTCCCCTCTTCCAACAATTTAGAAACCTTTGCTGAACAGCTGACTGATAAATTGTCTGGGCTCGAAAGCAAGGATGGTTTTGAAACATTTCATGTAGTATCGGATCTGAAACTGTAACACTGATAACTGTCCTGGTGATTACATTTGTAGTTTACCGATGTCTTTCAACTAAAATTGTTCAAACTAAACAAGCTCAATTGGTCAGGGCCTTTCTCACAAAAGTATCTACAGTCACCCCCAATTATGAACAAATCAAAAAGGGGGAATTATCGGGGGGATGTTCAACTTTAAGGGATCCAATATGTTATTCTCTTCTTTTGGGTGTCATTTCTCAAGGACTCTCTATTCTCTTATCAATTCCTGGAAAACAGGAATGAGCAGAGTTGCATGCAGTTCTCAAGACTGAGATCATGACAAAAGGGCACCTACTTGGAATCCTTTCAGTGACTCTCTTCAGTGACCTTTTACTTAAATGTAATCTATTCAGTTATGCCCCTCTTATTCAGGATATGGAACACTTTCTGGCCCTTTAAAGACTGCTATTTGCCTGGCTTTGTTTTTGCTCATTTTTTTTTACTGCCTAAAGCTGCCTTGTATGAAGATATATAAACGTGCATTTCTGCAAATAAAGCAACCTTGTTTCACTCGAGACTTGGGTCCCCTGCTTCCCTCTTCTGGTCAACTCTAGTCCCCAGGTCCCAGTCTACAAAGACTGTAACAATACTCAGTGAGGGTGAAAGCACAAGATAAATATGAATTCCCACACTATGACAAGAAATGTAAAGAGGTATTAACGGGACAGAATCTGAAGACCAACTAATTCACTTCTCTGAAAAATGAACACCTACTCCTACCTGCCTACAACCTAGTATGCCCTTTTACACACTCTGTAAAAGCTGGCATTTAACCCCAAATCATACACTTTCGTTAGTTTCCATTTTAATACTAAACAAAACAGGACAAAACTAACCCTGCTCAGCAATGATATGGAAAGAGTCCTTGTCCGAATGTTCTTCCCTATTCACAAGGGTAAGTTCCTACCACTATAACAAGAGTTCCAGTGCCCAAGTTCTCTGGGAAACCCCAAGCAGAGTATCAGCACCCACAGGCCCAGTCCATTAAAAAATATATTGGACAAACCAGAAAATGGATCTGAGGAAGGTAAGGCAAGTTGATGCTGCAAGATACCTGGAAACCACTAACAAAGTCTTCAACAAGGGCACCAGGGTAGGTGCTGACTGGCACATAGTGGCTGAGTTCAGCAAGGCGGGGCTGTGATGCCTCAGCACGGTTCTTACCAATGTCCTCCTCTCGCAGGTAGAACTACAAGAAGGTACAGAAAGGAAAAAAGTGACGTGAATGCAGAGATCAGGCTGTTTGGTGCCTGGGCAAGGGAAGGCAGTCAGGAAAGAATACCTGGGACGAGAGGTCAGCCCACTGAGCAGTGCCCTCATCATGCAGGGTGACAGCTTTGACACCACCAAGGATGATATTCTTGGCAATCTCCACCCCTAGGCCCCGAAGTCCTGATACCAGCACACTGGATGCCTGGAGATGCTTCATAGCCTCATGGCCGAGGACATATCTGCAAGATTTGAAGACGGCTCGGTCAGGGATTGGCTAACCCTCCTCTATCTTCTGTGTCCCTCTGCTGCTTCATATAACCAGGTTTAGTCACACTTACAACTGTCTAGAGTAAAGACCTTCATCAATGTCTGTTTCACTGCCCTTTTTTGGCATTCCCTAGGAATGGAGGGAAAAAAAGTTTCAACAAGATAAAGCAAAAGCTTAAATAAGAGAGATACTTTCCCACCAACCACAACACCATCCCACCTCCAAGATTTATCTTAGAGAAACTCACGCTGGCTGATCCTGATGGCTCTTTGAACATTACAAAACAAGCGGAGGAGAAATCAGGACTTGGTTTTGATCAGGCCCAGACATACACTGTTTCTTTGACAGTGGCAAGCTAGACATCTTTAGAAAAAAAGTCAGAGATGAGCCAGATGTAGGCAGACTTTCTTGTTAATGGTAACTCGGAGGGAGAGAAGGGATTTAGTACTAATAATCTCATCTAAGAAAAGAAGAATGAAAATATGCTAGGTACCAAAGCCACTCTGAGATGAAGGAAACAGAAGGCCGAGCTCAGACAGCTGACATTCCCTAGAGGAGAAAAAAGAAAAGCTTCAGGGAGATAACAGACTAAACACTCACTGACCACCCACTGGCTATATCATGAAGTCTGGCTGGGTTTCATGCAGGCTGAATAGATGCTGAGAAGGGGATACTTTCTGATCTAAGGCTGTTGGAGGAGGGGATATGATAATGCCGTATGTGCCAATGAGATTGAAAGTCAAGATTGCCAGCTTCTCAACAAGGATGCCGGGGGCCTCCCAAGGCCCTTAGGGTATACTATAAGGCAAGATGTGGAGTAACAGGATCTTTTAAAAAGCTGAAAATTAGCTACTTTTTGAATCCACAGATAGAGCTCCAAGCAAGCCTGGGACTATGAGCCTCTAACAGAAATCTTAGGACCAAAATCTGACATGGTGTTATCAAACACTGCCACAGTGATGAAGCGAAGTGGGGAAGGGTGTCTGAAGGACTATATATCCAAATAATTCCTTCCTGGTGTCTTATTCCTTAGGGGGTTCTGAGAGCTGATACTTGGAGTTATTTGAAAAGAACTGTGACACAATGAAAAAAACTGGGTATTCTCCAACAGTACATGATGCCTTATGATTAAAGCATGTTACTGTAAAACAAAGTTGGGTTCAGAGGCGTTTCTTCTCTTATTTTTTATTTTTTTTATTTCCATTTATTTTTATTAGTTGTAGGCTAATTACTTTACATCATTGCAGTGGTTTTTGTCATACATTGAAATGAATTAGCCATGGATTTACATTCTTGATGCAAATGATAAAGTCGAGTTCGCAGAGGTGGGCAACTAAGCAGAAATCTTGGGTATAGGAACAACTCTTAAAGGTGGTGTAGAAATGAAATGTCTTTAAACTGACATGTTCAAAAAATGTATTTTAACTGGAAATACTGGGCCCAGTGTGATCTCCATGGTAAGCAATTACAATCAGGCTAAGCAGTGTGGCCGCGGTCTCTGAGCAGGCATTAGGGTCAGCAGTAGTCACTGGCCTTGTGTGTATATATACATACATACATACATACATACATATAAACCTCTTAAAAGTGACTAGGAGCAGAAAACGAGGGAGTAAAATGGTGTCTAAGCAAAGATGTCAGAGAAAGGTCTCTTCGAGGGAACTGAAGGGTAAACAGACCTTGCCTGGGCTCTAGTTCCTCTTGGAAGCTGTGAGTGTAATAATTTTAATTTAAGGTCTTCATAGGAACGCATGACTAGCAATTCTGAACCTGGTGCTGTAACATACTAGGGAATAACATTTTTGACTAGATACGTTGGACCTGGGCCACTGGAGCCCTACGGTCTGATTTTGGAACCCAAGGGAAGTAACGGTAACATTCACCCCGCACTTAAATGTTATGCCCTTGTGCCGGCACCTACACCGCCCCTTAAGCTCAGTTTAGGGTATCCCAGTACAGTTCAGTCGGTCAGTCGTGTCCGACTCTTTGCAACCCCATGAAATGCTGCACGCCAGGCCTCGATGTCCATCATCAACTCTCCGAGTCCACCCAAACCCATGTCCACTGAGTCAGTGATGCCATCCAACCAACTCACCCTCTGTTGTCCCCTTCTCCTGTATCCCAAGAGCTCCTGAAAACCCTTCCTGAAAACGCTACCAAAAATAGCTGCCTAAAAATCCCTTCCTGATAATGCTGCCAGGGAGGGTAGCGGAGAAAAGCCATTTGTTACCAATTCGGATTCTCCAGGTGGCTCCGCTGGCAACTCCACGTGAACAGAAGCCAAACCCAACACCGCACTCTTTTTGCTCTTCCTCCCCCGCCGACTACCTAACGATAGTTGCTGCAGCCTCAGCTTTCCCTGCTCTCCCTGCTGTCCCTTTCGCGGATACACGATTTTACCTCAAACGCCGAGACAAAATGGCGATGGCTACGCTTGTCGTCGAAAGCTTTTCCTGACTCTCTGTCACGCCCACTAGGGAATACGGCTGAGGTCATGACGTATGCCGCAGTAAATGGGAAGACACCTCCCTCTAGTGGCTGCAATCACTAGTGTTACTAGCTCAGTCGTTTCCTACCAGGGATTGTAAGCACACAGGCTACTCTGTCCATGTAATTCTCCAGGAAATAACTTTGGAGTGGCTTGCCATTTTAAAATCCATACAAACTAAAAAGTAAAATACAGTATTTACATCGCTTTTGTGGACTGCCTTCATAGCTCAGTGGTAAAGTGTTGGCCTATCAAAACAAGAAATAGAGAACGTTCAGGAGCCCGTGAGTTCGATCCCGTGTATTTGGGTGGAAAAAGAAAATTTAAAGAAGTAGGATTTCCCATAGCTGTTTCCCCCCGCCCCCCCCCCCCCCCGCAAACAGCACATACTTTCAGTTCTGTTCACTCCCTCAGTCGTATCAGACTCTGTGAGACCCTATGGACTGCAGCATGCCAGGCTTCCCTGTCTTTCAGCAACTCGCCCAGCTCTGGCAAACTCAGGGCCGTTGAATCAGTAATGCTATCCAACCATCTCATCCTCTGTCCTCTAGTTCTCCTCTTGCCTTCAATCTATCCCAACATCAGGGTCTTTTCCAATGAGGCAGTTCTTAAATCAGGTGGCCAAAGTATTGGAGATTAAGCTTCAATATCAGTTCTTTGAATGAAAATTCAGGACTGATTTCCATCAGGATTGACTGGTTTGAGCTCCTTGCAGTCCATGGAACTCCCAGGAGTCTTCTCCAACACCACAATTTAAAAGCACCAATTCTTTGATTCTCAGATTTCTCGATGGTCACACCCATTCATGACTACTGGAGAAACCATAGTTTTTACTATACCTTCATTCTCAAATAATGTCTCTTTTTAATATGCTTTTGCATCCCTGTGTCCACTGCTGATTTTCCAAATATTCTGGCATTTTGAGCAAAGTACTTTAGCATGATATTCAGGATTTGAAAGAGCTCAACTGGAATTCCATCACCTCCATTAGCTTTGTTCATAGTGATGCTCTCTAAGGCCCACTTGACTTCACATTCCAGGATGTCTGTTTCTAGGTGAGTGATCACACCTTTGTGGTTATCTGGGTCATTAAGATGTTTTTTGTATAGTTCTTCCGTGTATTCTTGCCTTCTCTTCATAATATCTTCTGACTCTTAGGTTGAAACATTTTCTGTCTTTTACTGTGCCCAATTTTGCATGAAATGTTCCCTTGGTATCTCTAGTTTTCCTGAAGAGATCTGGAAAGAGATCTCCCATAGGAAAGACCTGGCCCATGGATCGCTGGCACGCCAGTGGCATCAGGGCACTGAGTGGAAAGTTGTGACTGAAGGTCATCCAACAGACCCAAGACATGGTGACTACTAGTCCACACTACCCACAGTGCTTCTCCATAAATGTCTGTTCCCAAAAGGACAATGAGCTTCACAGCACTTTCCTTGAATTTGATCTGGGGTGTGAGTGAAGCCATTTCCTGAATTGCCTTCTTGATCTTCTGCTGTGTATTGGATTCTTTATCATGACCATGCCTAGGAAAGTTTTGAAGGCAGTAGTGTTCTCTCCAGGGGGCAGAGTAGAAGGACCTATGCTCATCTTCTCCTGTGAGAACTCCAAAATAACAACTCTGCTGAATAGCCATCAAGAAGATAATGTTGGATCCCACCAAAAAGAGAGAAAAAAAAAAAAAAGATAACACATCCAAGGGCAAATGCCACGCCCCAACAAGTTGGTAGGAGGGACAGAATTGCATTTAGAATCAAACCCCATGTTAACCAGAGATGTTTTGAGGGCTCAAACTAACTTTGTGTGCATCAAAAGCCAGAGATCCCACAGAGAATGAGCCAGTCCTGACTGAGTGTTTGAGGACCTCTTTATAGACTTGGGTCAACAGTGGCCTGCTGAGAGGTCAGGGGTTTAGGGTGCAGCAGACATGGGTCACAAAACATGTAGCATAAGCCCTCTTGGAGGAGGTCTCGATTAGCCCCCATTGAGCCACTGAGCAGATGACCCACAAACTGCAGAACAAGTATACAAAAGAAATAATTGCACTGTTAAGAAAGTTCTAGGACCCATAACAGATTCCCTTACCTGGAGATCTGAGAAAGGGACTGATAATCCCTTTGAGTTTGGAGGCCAGTGGGATTTGATTACAGATCTCCCAAAGGACTGGGGAAATAGACTCTTGGAGGGCACACACAAAACATTGTATGCACCAGGAGCCAGGATAAAGGAACAGTGTCCCCACAAGAGACTGAGCCATATTTCCCTGTGTATGTCCTGGAGTCTCTGGTTGAGACATGAGTCAACAGTGCCCTACTGAATGGTCAGGGGCACTGAATAAAAGACTACCTGCACAAGTCCTTTTGAAGGAGGATGTTATCTTCATTACCCCTACAATAGTTTGTCTTCAGTGTAAAGAATGGGGATGGAACAGAGCACCACCCATCAACAGAAAATTGGATTAAAGGTTTACTGAGAAAGAGCCACCCATCAGGACAAGATCCAGATTCCCTCAAAGTCAGTCTCTCCCATCAAGAAGCTTCCATAAACCTTTTATCCTGCTCCATCTCAGGGCAGACAGAATTAAAACTACAATCACAGCAAACTGACCAAACTGATCATATGGACCACAGCCTTGTCTAAGTCAATGAAACTATGAGTCATGCTGTGTAGGGCCACCCAAGGCAGTCGGGTCTTAGTGGAGCATTCTGGCAAAATGTGGCCCACTGGAGAAGAGAATGGCAAACAACTTCAGTATCCTTGACTTGAGAACCCCATGAACAGTATTAAAA